GCCTCCAGGGTTGGGCCCAGAAATCCCTTTAATAAACTAAGAAGATTCAAATGCTTACTTCAGCCTGGTAACTCCTATCCTAGATTTATTATACGGATATAATTTGAAATTTTTCAGCTTTCCTACCTGATGATGAGGGAGCAGCTGTAGTGGTAAAAGCTTTTCAATCTCCATTGTTTTCGACTGTTTCTCCTAAACTAAAGGAAATACTGAAGATTACAAACAAAGGTGAGCTTTTGGCTGATCATTTTCTTAATCATGGTTTTTATTAATACTTAAACCTGATGTTAGTATTTATGGAAGCCTTAAAATATGTACATATGCAATGCAACAGTATTAAAGAAAAAGTGAGAAAGCTAGGGCAAAGAGAAAATAAAATTAGGAAGAACAAGTTAAGAGTGGGTATGAGCTTAGCACATAGACAACATACTAGGGAGACAAATTATTCTCCAACTTAACTTTCTCTTGGTTTCTGTAAAAGTATTTAATCTCTATCTGCCCTTCTCTGATTTCTCCTTTGTGCTGGTCTGATTTGAGATATATTTATTTAAAAATATATATATTTATTGAACACCTAGTATGTCAGATACAGACAGGATGTCTGAGGAACTTAGTTTCTGGCAGATGGAGTGAGCAACAAATTTGAATACAGTTCGAGTGAAAGGCAGTAAGATAATGTGATGTCTGGCCGGGATCCGAAGGGCCTAAGAAGTGGCATTTGAATGGACAACTGAAGGAAAGGAAGGAACTTGAAAAACCCCAAAGAAAAGCATTGCTGGTGAGGCAGCAGAAAGGACACAGTGGATGAGGTTAGATGTAGGACAGGGGACCATAGCACCTAGAACTCGGTTAGCCATTTGGATTTTATCTTAAATGCAAAGGAAAGTTATTAGAAACCTGACTTAGTTTTTAAAATAGTACTCTGGCTATTGAGGTAAGCGGAGGTGGACAAGAGAATGGGGCAGGGATGAATGTAAACAAGTCGAAATGATGGAATAATGGTGGTTTAATGACTTAAATTTAAAGTGAGTTGGAGGAAGGAAGGTATAGGTTGAAACCCAAAACTTATTTTAGATATGTTAATTTGGGGTAGTTATTAGACATTTAATTGCAAATAAGCCGCCAGTGCTGTGTCTTAGTAAAAGGTTATTACTTTGGAGAGTGGTACTTAAAGTTTTGGGAATGGATATGATTACCTAGGGAGACACTGTAGAATTTGAATAAGAAACTAGAACTGACCGAGGAAGCACCCCAAAACTTAGAAGTTCCAGAGGACATGAAACCAAAGAGGGATGCTGAGAAACTGACCAGTAAAGTGGGATGTCAGATACGTGACCTTGATAGCAAAGAAAAGAAAACAATGAAAGGAGGGCCATTGCTCTGCTACATTCACTGCTACTAAGGGCTCAAAAAAAATAAAGACAGCAGTGAGGTCAGGATTTAGAAACTTGTTCGTTTTTGTGACTGATCATTTCTTTTTAGTGGCATATAACACGTTTAGAGAGCCAAGACAAGGGAACCTACAAGGGAGTTGAAGGACCCAGGCGATAAAAAAAAAAAAAGAATCGGAGCAAATTCAAAGCCAAATCGTAAGTAGAAAGAAATATTGCAATTTGTATGATAACAGGGAGCTGGTGTTTTCAATGTGTAAGTATCTCTTGAAATTAATAGAAAAGACCAAAAACCAGGTAGAAGGAAGTGGGTAAAAACAAACAAACAAAAACTTATGGTTCATAGAAAAAGAAATGAAAATGTTTTTTGAGAATTTGAAAATATTAGCTTTATTCATGATAAAATAAATGTAATCTAGAAATATATCAAGATATCATTTCTTAATTTGTTTTTTTTCAGAACATGGCTATTATATTATATCTTCTCCAGCATTTCACTTCTCAGAATGTTATTTTAAGTATTATGAATAAAATCTGTCCTCACACAAATACATATTTGGATAAGTGGAGAGCATTTTTTTAAAATATATTTTATTGATTTTTTTACAGAGAGGAAAAGAAGGGGATAGAGTTAGAAAGATGGATGAGAGAGAAACATCCATCAGCCACCTCCTGCACAACCACTACTAGGGATGTGCCCGCAACCAAGGTACATGCCCTTGACCGGAATCGAACCTGGGACCTTTCAGTCCACAGGCCGACACTCTATCCACTGAGCCAAACCAGTTATGGCTAAGTGGAGAGCATTCTAATAGCTCCTTAGATAATTGATTTTTTATTCTAAAATCATATCAATAAACATTTTGTCCTCTGGTAAAATCCATTGGTCTGTCTTACACTTTGAATGCATTTTACCCTTGCATAATTTGAATTGGTCTTTTGAAAAATTTGATTCACTAAATTCACTGACTTATAGTTGACATATTTCATTAATAGCACCCCCTATTTTATCAAAAAAGACTAAGAATTGGGAAGCTGTCAAGCTTAAAATAGTGGAACTTGAATAGTAGATAGAACTTTACCAAAACGAATTTTTGCTTAAAAGCTCAAATTTAATACTTAGTTGTTTACCTTGAAATGACAGGGTCATTTTGTTAGTATTTGAGAAATTGTCTTCCAAGTCATTACATCTAAATAACCACAGTCTGCCCCATTTGCTCCTTCAACTAAAAATGTTCTATGAAAACACATGGCTAGTATGGCTTGCAACTCAAACAATCATAGAACATGCTTTTTCTTGAGGTAATCATTTCCTTTCCATAGGCAGCATAAATGCCTTAGCCACATTTTCCATTTTGTCACCTAGAATATTAAGTAAATCCTGCACTGAAGGATTGAGATTCAGTAGTTTTCTACTTCATCAAGAAATAAGAATATTAAGTAAAACAGGCCCTTTATTTTAACTGAGATGCAAGTATGTAGATATTTAAAAGTACAATAAATGATCACAGTACTAGTTGTTCTACTTCCTTGACTAATGGTAGGACACCAATAGTTTTACCTGCCATCAACTGAGATGTCAACACAGTGACAAGGCAAATCCAGTCTTGGGAGCCACACCTAAAACTGCTGCTTTCAGATGTACCCTAAAGGAAAAAAAAAATACATCACATATGCAGAAGTAATCAACTTCAGGATTCTACAAATGTTTTACATATCTTAAAAAATAAAATAAAAAATATAAAAAGAATGAAAGGGCCCTAGCCGGCTTGGCTCAGTGGATAGAGCGTCAGCCTGCGGACTGAGGGGTCCCGGGTTCGATTGGGGCCAGGGGCACATGCCTGGGTTGCGGGCTTGATCCCCGGTGGGAGGTATGCAGAAGGCAGCCAATCAATGATTCTCTCTCATCATTGATGTTTCTATCTCTCCTCTCTTCCTCTCTGAAATCAATATATATATATATATATATATCTATTTTTTTTTTTTTAAAGAATGAAAGGACAGGAGGTCATGTTGATGTCCAAAAACATTTGGGCAGCCTGGCTGCTGTGGCTCAGTGGTTGAGCCCGGATCTATGAACCCGGAGGTCAGGGCACATGGCCCCGTCCCCAGTAGGGGGCGTGAGGAGGCAGCCGGACAATGATTCAGTAATTCTCTCTCATCGCTGATGTTTCTCTCTCTCTCTCTTCCTCTCTCATCACTGATGTTTCTCTCTCTCTCTCTTCCTCTCTGAAATCAATAATGTATATATAAATTTATTTATTTTTTTAAATACATTTTATTTTTTTTATAGAGAAGAAGGGAGAGGGATAGAGAGCTAGAAACATCGATGAGAAAGAAACATCGATCAGTTGCCTCCTGCACACGCCCCACTGGGGATGTGCCGCAACCAAGGTACATGCCCTTGACCGGAATCGAACCTGGGACCCTTCGGTCAGCAGGCGGACGCTCTATCCACTGAGCCAAACCGGTTAGGGCTATAAATTTATTTTTTTAAAAAACATTTGGTTGGGAGGAGAAGCGAAAGGTGGAAGAAGCTAGTAAATCCGGAAATGGGACTCGGGGAGTTGTGAGATCTGTGAGGCCGGTTCGCGACTGGAGATGGTGTCGAACCAACTGGTTAAAAGGTGGAATGAGGACAGAGTGAAAAACGAGAGGCTTCGTTACGGTGTCACCTGACAGTGGCTGGAGCTGGGGTTAGACCAGGGCGGGTCTCCCCAGTTCAGTAGGCAGCACACTTTAAAATGTAATTAAAATGTTTGCCGGGAAAAGGCAGAATTGTTGCTCGGTGTCAGAGGATTGTCTAGAAATGGGAACGGCAGCGATTATTGATTTCTCTTTTCCTTAATAAAAAAAAGAGAGAACATATAGTTTCCCTTTAGTATCTGGGCAAAAATTTTATCTAGTTACTTATTTTGGGGGTCGTTTCATATATTTTTTAAACCAACGTCTTTTAAAGGCTGGTTCTCCGATGGGCCATACCTTGGGCTTCGGGCGCAAAAAATTCAAGAGGCCTCACTTCCGGGAGCGCGCGCATCTAGGGGAGCTCGAGAGCCGGTGCCTCCCTGCGCGTGAGCCACGTGCGCACTCACTTAAGGAGGCACGGAAAGAGGCCCTCCCTTTCTGGCTCCTGCTAGCGTTCAGTGGTGGGGGGGGGGGGTCCTTAAATTGGCCCCCAGAATGCCTAGCGCCAGACCTGCCACACCCTAGTCCCGGAAGTTCCTCCTAGGCCTATGGTAAAGCACTGTGCCTTCGAGAAGCACCCAGCTCCCACCCCCCCGCCCCCTGTTTAAAATTCCTCAGTGACACGGTACGCCATGCTCTGGTCTGTGACTAACTGTTAGCCGAGGGCTCAGAACCCCCAGGAAACCGGAGAGGGCCCTTGGGTCTAGAACCCTGGAGTCAGGCCTGTGTCCCCCCGGCCAGCGCGGGGCTGCCGAGGAAGGTGCGCGCCATCGAGGGGGCCACTCGTGACCTGCGCTGACGCCTGACTGTGGACGCTGAGGTTGGCCCGCTGTCTGACCAGACGCTGCCCTTCTCAGCCTGTCCAGGGCGAGAAGCATTCCCCCTCGGAAACAGCCCCACCTCCAGCCCGGAGTACCCGCCGGCATGTCCCAGCGGGCCCGCGTGTCCAAGAGGCGCCGCCTCCAGCCCCGGCGGGGCGTCCCGGGAGAGGCCTCCTGCAGGGCCCACCTGGAGCCGCTGCTGCTGTTCTGTGAGGACGACCAGGTCACGCTCTGTCGCAAGTGTTTCCTGGCCCAGGAGCACGGGAGCCACGTGGTGCGCGGAGTGCATGAAGCTGCGGAGAAGTACAGGGTAAGCTTCCTCCAGGTCCCCGAGCCATTCCGGCTGCCTCCTCTGATTTATTAACTTATTTGTCTGGGCGACGGGTACTATGAGCCTCCAAGACCAGCGGTTCTCAACCTGTGGGTCGCGACCCCTTTGGTCCTGCTAGACCCCTTTCACAGGGATCGCCTAAGACCATACTGCATATCAGATATTTACATTACGATTCATAACAGGAGCAACATTACAGTTATGAAGTAGCAACGAAAATAATTTTATGGTTGGGTCACAACATGAGGAACTGTATTTAAAGGGCCAGAAGGTTGAGAACCACTGCTCTGAGACCATTCTCTTGGTTAATATTTATCAAAAAAAAATACCAGACACATGCCATGTTTAGACCATCAACGTCAAGGCTAAGAAAACATATAGCCAGGGCCGCTGGCCTTTCGGTTGTCCACGGTTGGGGATCTCACCGTTCGAAGGCAATTGCTTTACCTGGAATTCTTTGATCTATTTCTCTGCAGAAGTTGTTTCGGGAGCTGTTGAGCACATTGAAGCAGAAACTTGAAGCTGCCAAAAGCCTATTGGCCGAAGAGCAAGAAAATATGGGGTTGGTTCAGGTCAGTGCTTATCTTGATTCTTAGCGGGGAAATACCTATAATGTTGGGTAGCAACTAATATAAACAAAGTCAAAAGACAAGAGAAAATATTTGAAATCTATAGGTAGGAAAAGTATTAATTTCTTAGCTTAAAAGTCAATAAGCGGCCCTGGCCCGTGTGGCCCCCTACACGGAAGGGTTGTGGTTTCGATTCTGGTGAAGGGCACATCTCTGGGTTGCAGGTTTGCTCCACACCCCACACCCCCACCACCCTCACCCTCTTGGTTGGGGTGCTTGTGGGAGCAACTAGTTGATGTGTCTCTCTCACATCATGTTAAGATGATTCTCTTTTTTCCTCTCTCCCTTCCACTCTCTCTGAAAAGCAATGGAAAAAATGTCCTCGGGTGAGGATAAACAAACAAAAAAACAATAAATGAAAGACTAGAAACCTAATAGATATATTTCCATTGATTTTTAGAGAGAATGGAAGGGAGAGGGAGAGACAGAAGCATTGATGTGAGAGAGACACATTGATTGGTTGCCTCTCGTACGCGCCCCAACCAGGTCCAGGGATAGAGCCTGCAACCAGGCACGTGCCCTTGACCAGAATCAAACCCGGGACCCTTCAGTCCTCGGGCTGACATTCTATCCACTGAGCCAAACCAGCTAGGGCTCCTTGTCTTTATATTGAAGTTAAAGGTGGACAAGATTTATGGTCAATCTGTGGTGTTTAACCTGAAGGCCATCATCTGTATCTGTGTTGCAGGCCGAGGAGCAGAATTTTAAAGAGATGCTTAAGTCTGAATATAAGATGATGATCCGGTTGGTGACTGAAGAGAATGCGATGAACTTCCAAAACCTGCAAGGGTACCCATTCAACCCACACCTGAGAGAAGCCGGTCTGAGTCCGCAGATGAAGTTTACTGCGGAGCTAGAGGAGAAGTACCAGGAAACACTACAGGTGAGATGTAAAAAGTGGCATCCTTACAATATTAGGGAAATGACAGACAGAAGAGCTGAACATGTCAATTCCAGAATAAGACATCGGGTGATGTATGAAAAGGTTGTATTCACCCAGCAATTCCATTTCTGAGAATGTACTGCAAATATACTTGCATGCGTATAAAAAGACACATGGGTACAGGAAGGCTGTAAAATTATTTCCGTCTAGAGCAGGAGTGGGCAAACTTTTTGACTCGAGGGCCACAATGGGTTCTTAAACTGGACTGGAGGGCCGGAACAAAAGCATGGATGGAGTGTTTGTGTGAACTAATATAAATTCAAAGTAAACATCATTACATAAAAGGGTAAGGTCTTTTTTTTTTTTTTTTTTTTTTTTTTTTTAGTTTTATTCATTTCAAACGGGCCGTAGTTTGCCCACGGCTGGTCTAAAGCCTGGTTTAGAGGTAGTCTTTGAAGTCAGGTTGATGAGGTTCCTATCTGGGATCTGCTATTTTACCAGCCAGTATATGTCCTTGGAAGTTATTTAACCTCTGACTTGGTTTTCTTAGCTGTAAAGTGAGGATAATAATGGCCCCTGGTTCACAACACTGATGTGGGGATTGAGTGTGGCAGTCTACATGAGCTTTTAAAATAGTGTGTGTGCTTTTTGTGAACTGGATAAGTATTAGGTATTATTACTGCTATAGCATTTATTGACAGCAACAGATTAGATGCAACCTATATCAATATTGGACTTACGCAATAAATGTATGTACATAAAAAGGAATGCTCTTTAGCATTTAGAAAAGATACCATGTCTCTGTGTATGGATAAGGAATGCTCTCCTAGAACATATTAATAAGGAAAAAGCAAGTTATCCGGTCAGCAGTACATTATTTGTGAGCTTTAAGAAAAATAGCATGAACGTGTGCTTTGTGCCTAGGTGGAGCATCTTTGCAGGGATAAAAAGGAAACTGATATCAGTTGCTTGATTAATTCTTATTGATATTTAATTTTTTTATTCAAATCTTGATTTTAATTAGTAGGAAATTTTCAGAAAAAAACTGCAGAGTAAAAAATAATCTATTTTAGGTACAGGTTGTTATCTGAATAAGTGGATGACACCCTCACACTTTCCGTGTTAACATAAATGTTTTGTGTTAAAGAATGAAGTTTCCATCGAAGTGTCCTGCTTGACCCAGAGATGTCCTGACCTTATCTAATTATGTATATTCCTGAAGCAGCAGGCAGGAAAGTGGGGTTTTTAAAAGATGGTTGAATGAGCAAGTAAGAGAAATCACTGGTTGTCAAATAGTAATAAGGAGATGCTTCTGCAGAGACTGAACAGTCTGGGGAGAGAGAACATGAGTAAACTGCATGAGAGTGAAGTCAGGCTGTATGAACAGATCATCAGCCTCCACAGTGTCACCGCCGAGCTGGAGAAGAAATGTGGGGAACCTTCCTTAGTGTTGCTCAAGGTAAGAGTCCAGAAAGAACCTTCATTACAGTGTTTAAGAAATGAGAAGTGTTCTAGATCCCAATGTTCAGTGATTTGCAACCACTGAAAGCTGTTTAGCTATTCTGAAAGCTGTTTAGCTATTTTCCATTCATCAAAAGCATTATGAATCATCATAACATCAGTATAGCATGGATTTTTTTAAAATATATTTTATTGATTTTTTACAGAGAGGAAGGGAGAGGGATAGAGAGTTAGAAACATCGAGAGTTAGAAACATCGACGAGCGAGAAACATCGATCAGCTGCCTCCTGCACACCCCCTACTGGGGATGTGCCCGCAGCCAAGGTACATGTCCTTGACCAGAATAGAACCTGGGACCCTTGAGTCCGCAGGCCGATGCTCTGTCCACTGAGCCAAACCGGTTAGGGCTTCATAACATTATTAATAGTAAGTTTAAATTGAGATGTCTCTTAAATATATAAATAATTGGTTAGTCAAATTATGATACACCTATACAATAGAATGTTCTGCCACCATAAAAAAGGAATGAAGAAGCTCTATGGCCACTAAAAAATTACCTTCAAGATACCTGGTTAAGTGGAAAAAAAGAGGCAGGACCGCTTTTTGTTTGGTTTTACAGACTATGTATATACATATAGACTTATGCTCATTAACATTCAGACTATCTTTGGCAAAATAAACACCCATTTTAATCAGTGGTAACCTTGGGAAATGAGAGTCATATTTGTGTATAGTATATTTTTAATTTTGTAGGGTAACCTCCATTACCTTTTCAACACATACTATCTTTTGAAGACTATATTTTCCTGCCAGGCCCATATTTGCAATGTATGTGCTCTTATTTGAGAAGCCCTTACACATAAACCCTCAGGTTCCATTCTGGAGCCAAGGCTACCTCTAAAGAGCACAGGTAGGTGTGACCCAGTTTTGCTCAGTTCCTGACCTGGCTCCAACCACCCTCCCTAGCCTAGCAGACCTGTTCGCATGCTCCACCCTGTCCACCCCCAGCATAGAAAGCAAATACATGGGCTGAATTGAGATGGGTATCCTATATAATAAAAGGTTAATATGCAAATTGTCCCCTCGGGAGTTTGACCGGGAGACCTGGAGTTCGATAGCTCGCTATGATGTGCGTTGACCACCAGGAGGCTGTGCAGAACATGGCGGGCGACTAGCAGCGGCAGTGGGGCGCTGAGGGAGTGAGGGAAGGAGGAGGCCAGGAGGCGAGGAACTGGGGAACCCGGGAACCAACCAGGGAACCATGTGGTGGGAGCTCTGGGGTGGTGAGGGAAGGAGGAGGCAGGGAGGCAGGGAGGCAGGGAACCTGATCCACCCTGATCACTGGCCAGGCCTTTGCATAAATTTCGTGCACCAGGCCTCTAGTTCTGAATAAGATGGCTGAAGTGAGGTATAGAAAATATTTCTCTTGGGAATATAGCAATAACTTAAAGTGTTTTTTCTGACTTTTCCTATTCAATGTTAAAATTTGATATCTGAGAATTAGCATAATGAAACTGAAGGAACTACATGGAAATGGGTTTCATTATTAGAAGATATTTTCATGGGCATAACTCACAAAATGCTTAGCTCAAATACTCACTAGTGTCTCCTTTTTTCCCCATAGGATGCAAGATCTTTGGAATTGTAAGTTTTCATTTTGGAAATATATTTGGGTCAGAATCAGGGACTACTGTGTGAGCACACGTGGGTAGAGGTGTTGGGGTAGAAACAGGGAGGTCATGTAATCATGTAATGAGATCGTTCTCTGGGTGCAAGGCCCCGGGGTCCCCCACATAACCGAGATTGTCCTTTCTTTATAGGAGTGGTGTTTCACTACTGTGTCAGGGCCTAGAGCCCGCCCGAATCACAGACCCGAGTTTATGCCAAAGACCAGGACTGAGCGAAGTGCTGGAACTGTTTCAAAGTAAGTTGATGCATCTGTTGTTACATCCTACCATAAATAAAAGTCAATTCCAGATCGCTTAAGGATATAAAAGATCGGAGAGTTCAACATGCTTACACACATTAGATAACTATCAAAATAATTGCATGATCTTGAAACTTAATTGCAGGCAGATTCTACTACTTAAATTTTTTTAACTTCTGGGGGCGGGGGGATGTCAACATGTACAAACAAGGATTTATATCTCCTATCTCCATAGTTCTGTCTTTTCCTGAATGTCCTGTCAATGGATCATACCATAGGTGGCCTTTTGAGTCTGGCCTTTTTTCACTTAACGTAATGCATTTGAAGCACATCCTAGTTTGTTACATGTATCAGTGGTTTGTTCCTTTTTGTTGCTGTGCGGTATTCCATTGTATGACTATACCACAATTTGCTCATGGATGCTTAAGTTGTTTCTAACTTTATGTTATAAAAAATGGCTTACAGATTTTTGTGTGGCTGTGACTTCATTTCTTTTGGTTGAATATCTATGTCATTTTGTATTCTCACCAGTAAAATATGAGAGATTCAATTGTTCTACATCCTTGCCAGTATTTGGGATTATTTTTTTATTAGAGCTAACCTAAAAACATATACCAGTATATCACTTTGATTTAATTTGCATTTCTGAACTGACTAATGATAGCGAGCATATTTATATATGTTTACTTACCCTTTATCGTTGCTCTTTTTTGAAGTCTATTTATGAACATTCTTCGCATTTTAAAAATTGTGTTGTGTGTTTTTTTCCTGAGTTTTGTGATTTCTTTATATATTCTTCTGATCATGAGTCTTTAATTGGGTGTGTTTTGCAAAGATTTCTCTTAGTTTGTGGTATATTTTCATTTACCTAATTGTGTCTTTCAATGAGAAGTTTTAGGAGTAAAGACAGTCTCTTCAACAAATGGTGTTGAGAAAACTGGACAGACATATGCAAAAAGATGAAACTAGAACCACCGACTTACACCATACACAAGAATAAACTCAAAATGGGTAAAATACTTAAATGTAAGGCATGAAACCACAAAAATCTTAGAAAACATTGGCAGTAAATTCTCAGACACTTCACGTAACAGAATTTTTGCAGATACATCTCCTAGGGCAAGAGAAATGAGAAAATAAACAAAGTACTCATAAACTCAACATAAGGAAGACAGGCAATCCAATTAAAGGGGCAGATGACCTGAATAGACATTTCTCCAAAGATGACATACAAATAAATGGCCAAGAGACATGAAAAAAATGCTCAAAGTCACTAATCACTGAGAAATGCAAATTAAAATCACAATGAGATATCACCTCACACCTGTCAGAATGGCTGTCATCAAAAAATCAACAAACAAGTGCTGGTGAAGATGTGGAGAAAAGGGAACACTAGTTCAATGCTGGTGGGAATGCAGACTGGTGCAGCCACTATGGCAAACAGTATGGGGTTTCCTCAAAAAATGAAACTGTCTTATGATCCGGTGATTCCACTTCTGGTAATATATCCGAAGCAAAGGTTACTTTAGAGCAGCCGTGGGCAAACTACGGCCCGTACCCTTTTATGTAATGATGTTTACTTTGAATTTATATTAGTTCACACAAACACTCCATCCATGCTTTTGTTCCGGCCCTCCGGTCCAGTTTAAGAACCCATTGTGGCCCTCGAGTCAAAAAGTTTGCCCACCCCTGCTTTAGAGTCTATTCCTGGTAATTGTATTTTATTTAGAGTGCCTTAGTTTTTCCTTAATGTCCTTTTTTAATGTATTTTTTATTCCAGAGAGGGGGCTAAAGGGGGAGAGGGAGATAGAAACATCAACGATGAGAGAGAATCATTGATCGGCTGCCTCCTGCACGCCCCCTACTGGGGATTGAGCCCTCAACCCGGACATGTGCCCTTGACCGGAATCAAACCCGGGATCCCTCAGACCACAGGCCGACGCTCTATCGACAGAGCCAAGCCAACTAGGGCTGTGCCTGGTCATTTTAATAATTGAGTTCTTCAGATTTATTTCTGCTCGTCTCAGTAGTGCTCTCTCACTTCATAAGTGTGTATTTAATGATTTTTTAAATAGGTAAGCTTTCTTTTTTCCTTAGATAATAATTTTAGAAAATTTTTGAGAACAAGGGTGTGCATTCTTCTAGAAAGAATTTGCATTTGTTTCTGCCAGTCTTCTGGAAATACTAAGAGCCTGGTGCAACTTAAAACTTAAAATTCAAGGTTTTGTGGCTTTTAATAATGACATGCATTGGGGCTTCAAGTCCAGAGATTTAAGTTCATTTGGCCAGAAAACTTGCTACTGGATTAGATGTTAAAGAACTTAAGAAGTAAAGAACTATTCCAGGTTTATGGCTTGAGCAACTAAAGTATTAAGTGTGCTATTAACTGAAAAAGTAGAATAGGGAAAGGGAGAGGTTTGGAGTTCCATTTTGGATGTAGTATGTTTGAAAGGCCTGTGTATGTTCAACTGGTATTTGGCAACTAATTTATGGAGTAAGTCATGAACTTAGAGAGGATATTTAAAAGTGAGGCTAGATGAAGTCACATTGGGAAAGGAGTACAAGAAGTAAAAAGGGAGAACCAGGACTAAGCCATGAGAAATCACTATATTTTACAACAGAAAAAGATAAGAGAAGGAACAGAGATATGAAAGCAAGTATCACTGTCATTCAAGTAAAAGAAATCATATTGAGTTTTCTTATTCTCAGCTTGATTTTTCTGGTGAATTCTCACAGGTTTTCTAGCCCCTGCTAATACCTTCTCTTTTGATTTACTCACCAACAAGGGTCTGCTGGCAACAATTTCGAGGCATCCATGTCACACTCTGGTGATATGTAAATGAAGGAGGGCAATTCAGTCACAGAAATCAACTGTTTTATTAGACTTATGCCTCCAGTTGTTCCGGACTTGGAGAAGATCTGTAGGGGACTAGCGTTGGGTCCCAGGTGGTATCTGGCTAGGAATGGATGCCAGGTCATTTAGTCCATTATAATTTGTTTGTTCTACCTCCACAGATACATTGCACCTCCTCCCATCATCTTGTTTTTCCTCCGTGATGTCCTTTCTTGAAACAAAGCTTAGAGGTTCCTTTTTCTGGGCTCTTCTAGATCTCCTCTCCCTTATCTGTCTCTGGAACTTGTGCCCACTCATTGGGAAGCCCCTGCATGTTAGAAATGATCAGTTTCTGGCACTGGCTTTGATGAACCCCTGTGTTAATCAAATTTCTCTCTCCCTGCAGGACCTATAACTTTGGATCCCAAAACAGCTCATCCCTGTCTTGTCCTATCTGAGGATCTGAGAAGTGTACGACTCAGAAATGTCCAGCAGGATGTACCTGGCAACCCCGAGATATTTGACTTCGGTGCTTCTGTGTTGGGTGTGGAGAGCTTTACCTCAGGCAGGCATTACTGGGAGGTGGATGTGGAAAAGACAACAAGCTGGCAGTTGGGTATATATGAAGACTCCGCCGCCAGACTCATGCCCAAAGCTTCCGAAGGTAAAATCTTGCTCATGGGAGCCAGGATGGGAACCAAATATACCTTGTGGGTCTTTCCTCCTTTAAAAGGGATGTACTTGGAAGAGCAGATGCACAAAGTTGGAGTTTTCCTAGACTATAAGTACGGCCAGATATCATTCTATGATGTGACAAAGAGATTCCTCATTTATAATTTCTCTGATCTTGTCTTCAAAGGAGCTCTCAGGCCTATTTTTTCTCTTTGTTTCCCAAATGAAGGCACAAATTCAGACTCTCTTAGCATCTGCCTCCCTGATGTTTTTGTGGTGTGAAATCTAAAACCACAAGATGCTCAAAAGTCTAGGGTATGACTTGGTAAAATAATTTATATTAAGTAATCTGGTAAAAGATTTATTGTGCTTGAGCTGGAACCCAGTTCAGTACCCTAGAGCTTTTGCATTCATTGTGCTTTTCATATTTATTTACTGTAAGAGGCTACCTTCAAGCTGAGCCTTAACTGAAGGACCCCATACTAATTAGAACAACAAAGGCATAGACAGTATAAGATGGGGAAATTAGAGAAATATAGTCCTTAGGATTAGGTTGAAGACTCTAGAGATATTTTTGAAAATAGAATTAGGTATAATTAGGACTTTAGATTTGAGGATATCATCATAGTTACTTGTTACCTAATACTGACATTGAGGCATCCTGTTATTGACAGTGTGAAGACTATAACACTTATTCCAAATGGAGAACAACTTAATTTTCCTGAATATTTTATCTGGGGGAGGTGGAGATGTTGCTGAGAAATGTAAATATTTTACAATTCTTTTATATATATATATATATATATATATATATATATATATTTTTTATTGATTTCTGAGAGGAAGGGAGAGGGGGAGAGAGCTGATCAATGAAAGAGAATCATTGATCAACTGCCTCCTGCATGCCCCATACTGGGATTGAGCCTGCAAGCAAGGCATGTGCCCTGACCAGGAATCAAACCATGACCTCCTGGTTCATAGATCTATGCTCAACCACTGAACCACACTGGCTGGCCTGTAATCTACAATTTTACAAGAATATTAGATTTCGTAAAAGAAGCCTGATAGTTCAATGCTTTGAAACTCATTTATAGTATTGTCTTATAATGCTCTCATCTTCTCTATTTGACAATCCATTGAAAAAGGTTTTTTTGTACAGCCTTGTCTAGGATGGTTATACAGTTCTTAGAGTGTGACAACAAATTTATAGGGAGACTTTTATGTGAAAAGCTTAATATTTTATTTCCCTTAATATTTTATATCCCTTAATATTTTTAACAACCTGTAAGTGTGCATTAATCTTATTAAAGCTATTTAGCTGTTAAGTATTTAGTAAGTAACACGGACAAGGAACTCAATCTGGATCATCCTATCAAAAATCAAGCTCTGTCTTGAATCCTGTTGCATAGGAACCTGTTATGTAAGCATGACCAAGTAGGACGGTGGTCCCATTTTATTGACATTTCCTAAAAATGCAAACCAATTTCTACAGAAAGTGGAGGAAACATATCAGTTATACTCCTCTCTGGATAAATAAAAGGAACAAAAGGCAATTGTAAGAAAATTGCTCTGTTGAAATATGTATGGGAAGGCATAAAGTCTTAATTACTTGTGTTTTGGGGACAAATTTTTAATCAACCATTTGGAATTCTCAATTTTCTTTTTAAATATCTGGAGTGTGTGTGTGTGTGTGTGTGTGTGTGTGTGTGTGTGTGTAAAGATGTAGCTTTAGAAAATGCATTTGCACATCTTCACACCCAATCACAAGAACACATGGGGGTAAAGTACCCCTGATCTGAGGATTGGGGGTTCGGCCAGCTGAGTGAATTTAAAGTGAGATAATTACTATGATCACTAAGATTAAAAACTCAAAGCATGCCCTGCCTGGTTTGGCTCAATGGATGGAGCATAGGTCTTCGGACTGAAGAGTCCCAGGTTCGATTCCCAGTAGGGGGTGTGCAGAAGGCAGCCGATCAGTGATTCTCTGTCATCGTTGATGTTTCTATCTCTCCCTCTCCCTTCCTCTCTGAAATCAATAAAAATATATTTTAAAAAGTTATAAGAAAAAAAAACAACCTCAAAACAATGGCTCTCAGACCCAATTTCCTAAGGAAAAAGAAACTGATGATTTATTATATAGAGCAATGTAAAAAATTTGTAATGTCTGTATGGTACTAAATGTTTACCCTCATTTTATATCAAATTTCTCCTGCCTTTGCAACTTGACTACTAAGAACTATTTTCCCCAATCAGAAACCAAAAGAGAATGTAGCCTGCCCTTTCAATGTCACTCTAGGACAGCAGTTCTCAACCTGTGGGTCGAGACCCCTTTGGGGTTTGAACAACCCTTTCACAGGGGTCGCCTTAGACCATCAGAAAACACATATATAATTACATATTGTTTTTGTGATTAATCAGTGTGCTTTAATTATGTTCAATTTGTAACAATGAAATTGGGAGTCACCACAACATGAACTGTATTAAAGGGTTGCGACATTAGGAAGGTTGAGAACCACTGCTCTAGGACATTGTCTAACAAACAAAGATTACTTAAATTTTCTACGAAACTGTACTTGCATTTGACTTTGGTATTTACCATTTGATGAGAACCCTCACACTGCGATGTTAACTAGAAGAATTATCTGTAGAAAAAAATATCCCCAAAGGTTTTGTTTTTTATTTCGCCCTGTGGAGTATTAACCAGTTTTGTATCTAACCTAAGCAATCTTATTTTAGCATTCTTTTATAGTCCTGATGATCTGAATAAACTGCTTGCATTATTCTTGAAACCAATTTTATTCTTTGCCTGGATCCCTAGCTAATTCCTGAGTTGAATAAAATCTTCAACACATGTTCATCTTATTTGTATGAGGATTGTTTTTAAGCCTTTGAAAATAATATTTTGACACAGCCTACTGACCTTTCCAATGACGATATCCATTGCATCCTTCCAGTCGCAAAGACTTTGCACATGCAGTTCCCTGTGCTTTAGTTATCACTCCTCTTTTTGCTACTTCTGGTTCATTCTATAGGTCTTCCTTTAAGTGTCAGTCCTCCTTGGGATCCTTAACAAGAGTGAGTCCTGGGTGATCATTGCAGTAATTGCAGCTTGTTACACAAAGCACAGTTGCAGTTCTATACCAGTATTTGGGTGCTCACTTGATTGCTTTCCCCATTAGACTATAAATCAATGAGAGTATGGACTGTGCCTGTTTTTGTTTTTTATCCTCTGATGTTAAATAGTCCCTAGCACATACTTTCTTTCAATATGTACTCATTAAGAATTGCGGCAGCGGGGAGCCGGGGGGGGGGGCGGGGGGGTGGGGAGAAAGCAGTAAGTGTGGTAAATGATAGGACTGGGCAGGTGATGGTAGAGTATCCAAGTTCTGCAGGGGAGATATGCTAAAAGGTGAGTAAGACTATGCAGGTGAGTCTGGCTGGTGTGGCTCAGTGGTTGAGTGTCAACCTATGAACCAAGAGGTCAAGATTCAATTCCTGGTTAGGGCACATTCTTTTGGTTGTGGGCTCCGTCTCCAGTGGGGATGTGCAGGAGGCAGCCAATCAGTGAATCTCTCTCAATGTTTCTATTTCTCCCTCTCCCTCTCTCTGAAATCAATAAAAAAGATGAAATACTGAAACAACATCAGTGTTTGTTAGCTTAAAAACAAAACCCTTTGCATGTGATATTTTTTGGCCAAGGCACATTTAAGTAAAACTAGTTTCATTCTGTAGTTATAACTTGGAAATAGTGCTCTACAAATGTGAAGTGAAGTCAAGTTGTGAGATTCTTAATAGCTGAAGTACTGATGCACCTCTGGGTTAGGAACTGCGGGAAAGCCATCGCTGGTTTGGCTCAGTGGATAGAGCGCCGGCCTGTGGACTGAAGGGTCTCAGGTTTGATTCCAGTCAAGGGCATATGCCTGGGTTCCAGGCTCGATCCCCAGTGTGGGGCATGCAGGAGGCAGCTGATCAAGGATTCTCATCGTTGATGTTTCTATCTCTCCCTCTCTGAAATCAATACAAATATATATATATATTAAAAAAAGAATTGAGGGAATGCTTAAAGCTCATACCCATCCAGACTCATACCTTCATCTGTCTGAAATTATCTGGGGTGAAAAGAAGGAAAGGTAAATGACCTCACTGCAGTTAATATTTTGATCTTTTGTAAAGCAAGAAGAGATAAAGAGGAAGAATTTATGGGGAGTGGGGAAGTCAGTGATTTGAAGCTTTGATTTCTTGGTTTTTCTGAGTCCATGGTCCAGTGAAGCATATAGATGGGGGTGGGGAAAAGATGCAGAAGGTTGCATTTTCGTTGTCTTGACAATTCAGAAAGGATGCAAGAGAATAGGGACATTTGCCCTGAAGAGAGCCAATGTGACATGGGAATTTACTCCACTTGAGAGGAAGGAATTCTCTGCAGTAGTAGGTGAATGCAGTAGAATTACAAAAAGGGTGTTAAAATTAAATACTCCATATTAAAATAATTTGTGCTTATGCTGTCTGCATGGTAAGGTTCCAAATGCATGATGTGTATTACCTCATTTCCTAATTCTTTACTAAGAAGTATATGCTTTTTATTTTTAATTTACCAAGACAAATATGCTAAAAATCACCAGGTAGTGGTACAGACTCTTGAACAAACAGGTTATTTATTCTTTCCACCTACATGGATTGTGTCTCCCTAAAGGTATGCAAGCAGTGAGATAACTGAGGTTGACTGGGGGGAAAGGTGAGGGGAGTTGAGACCTGGTACGGATGTGAAAGTAAAATTCACATTTTTCAAAAGAAGAGGTTGATGGAGACAATGTGAAATTATTTTCATGAAGTATCTTTTATGTGTTTGTATAAAAAACCCTCTTAGTTAAAAATTTAAAACCTTATGTGAATGTCTTTTCTAAATGAGTATTTTAATCCGCTCTGTGTTCATCCCAACAAACACTCTAATCAGCTACAGATTACCCCGCACTGTGTTTCTTGTTTCAGATAGGAGAACTATGTAGTCCTTCCAGGTCTTAGAGATACTAGTAGATCTTCTATTTGAAAAAGGGGGTGGGTATGAGGGTATCAGGTTACTGGTTGCAGTTCCTCTTTTGTTCTTTGGCTTGTGAAATTTCTGAAGCTAAAAGCTATTGATGTTGAGATTCAGAACTTGCATTTTCATCCAAGGACTATGAATGTGCATTTTCCTCTGAGAATGTACTCTCCTTATATTCATTGTGGACTTACAGTGATTGTTCTGGAAAGAAAGGCAGAGATACTAGTTTCCTGGGTCTATAGTA